AATAGAGAATGTTACTGTTTTGATATTTTATTTAATAATAAAAGTTGTATTGTATCAACTGAGCATATAAATATTTATAATTATTTTATGAACTTGACATACATCTTCTATGTGAATAGAGTCTGAAATTCAAAGATAAAATTTATATAATATAAAATTTTTTAAATTTGACATGCATCTTCTATATGAATAGAGTACGAAATTCAAAGATGAAATTAATATAATATAAAAAAATGTAAAATTAAATCAATACATATTAAAAGGTAAAATTTAATTTGATCTTCAATATCTTTTTCGATATGCATTTACTTGTTCGATAGTAATCACAGTTAATCTAAAAAACATGTTTAAAAAATAGTTAAATATTCATATTTATATATAAAAAAATTTATATTATCTTTTATTAGTGTGAAATTCGTAATATTGTCAATAACTTTTATTTATTGGTCTAAAGTTAAATGCCAATGGCAGTCTTGGAGATATGGTTATATAGGGAAACTTTTAACTATTTCATGCATAGCATCTATGAGGCATATTCAAGTGTTAATTTTGTCATTGCGCTTCAAATAATAATATTAAATTTTATACATATGAAGAAATTAAAAAGAAATTTGATTATTCAGGGACATATCATGTTCAAAAAGATTCACCACCTCGTGACTCTGACCAAACGAGCCGAAATCCTTTTTAAGCAGGTCGAGTAACTATCAACAATTCCACTATAAAAGCTCTACCATTTCACCGCTTTTGGCTCTTTTTCTTCAGGTAGATTGCAAAGTCCACAAGACAACAAACAAGTTTCACCCAATCTTACAATGAAAATTTGTTCCGTCCTTTTATTATTATTTATTATCGAATGAGTTTAAACTTTTTTAAACTTTGAAAGTCCTCCAAATCTGTGTGAGCTGAATCTTCCACGTAACAGTCATTGATTTGGTTTCTGGGCTGGTTTCGTTGTGGCACCCAACAAAGAAAAGAGCCACTCCAAAGGGACTGAGAACGCCACCAGCGTTGGATAATTATCACAAACCACCCTTTTTCTCCCTCCAGTGGTCCTTCGTTATCTCTTCTTGTACATGACCCACAAGCCCCCCTGACCCAGAGTTGCGGGCGGCTCTATGCTGTTTCTTATTTGTGTTTATTATTAATGAGCATTATGTTCGGGCGGGCCTAATGAATTTCCCACGGTTTGGTTCCTGACGTGGTCCTTTTTTCTTTCACTCAATCTCAAAAAGAAAGAAAAGAAATATTGTTAAATGAGAAAGAAGAAGAAAGGTGGATGATTAGATGGTTGAGTTAGGAAAAGATTTGATGGTCTAATCAGGTATGTGCTATGGCCTATTGGTCAAGCATTTTTATCTTTTAATTTGCACCATAAAAATAAAAAAAAAACTAAGTGACTGTTCATCAGGGTGGTTGCAACAATGGAACATTTTGGATGGTGATCTGACTTGCTAGGAAGAGTTTAGGAATGAGTGTTAGAAGCTACTGCTAGGGAGAAAAAGAAAGCATATAGCGATGATACTTCAATTTCCACAGTGTCATCAAAAGTTTTTTTCTTTTGCTTTTTTTTAAGCCTTTTTTTGGTCAAAGTCAAAAGAATAGGAGACATAATTGAAATTTATGAGTATTTTAACATTCAAAACCTTGGAGCTTGAATTAATAAGTAATTACAAGAACAAAATAAAGTAAAGGGCAGAAAAATATTTATGCCTATTAGTTAGAAATTTTGGGTCCTGCCTCAGGCTTTCAAACACTAGTTGTCCTTTTCAAACCTAGCTCACATGTTCCTCCAATGGAGAGTTATCACACTCAAAGGAATTCATTTCATTAGTTATAATAATAAAAGACAAGTACCTAATTGACAACAACAAAATCCTAATTCCCCCAATTAACCTGTTTTCTCTATCAGAAAGGGGTGAGCCACAACATTCCAACCACGCGCACACACACACACACAAACACGCAAGGGAATTCCTCCTTAGCTATCTGGCTTCTCCCACCCACCTACCCAGTTACACTCTTTTCTTTTGAAGGTGGAGCATTTTTTTTTGGCAATGTCACATCAACTTTTAAACCAAAAAGCACCAAACCACAAGAATTCACCCAATGTCTGCGTTATTATTGAATTCTGCACCGCCACCGATCAGCTCATCAGTCGATCAGCGTGGGATGAAATGAAGTAATGATCTTTTCTTAATTGGTCCCTCTGGCTCTATACAAAGTGGGCGCCTTTAACAAACACTCTATTTTGGCCCCGTTTTCCTTAAAGCAATATTTTAAGGATTGAGTGGAGAATGGGGTTTTGGGGGGGGGGTGTGGGAAAGGTGGGGGTGATTTTTTTATTAACTTAACCTCAAGCTAAGAACAAAATGCCCAGATACAGTCATGGAGGCTTACACAGAACAAAACTTTTGTGGCTTTGAACTGTTTTAAGGATTCTTTTAGTTTTATTAGCCTAAATTTTATGGGATTTTTTGTGTGGAAAGTGTAAGATAAAGAGTTAAGAAGTGTAGAGGACAAAACAAGACAGACTTGTTTGGGACATTCGGGTTCTGGAAAGCACAAAGCACAGTGCATTGTTTGAGTACTTTGTGCTCCATTTTAGTGATACAATTGTGGCCCTTTTTGATGCTGTATTAAGTGATATTATTACTTTGAAAATTAAAAAAAAAGAATGTTTATTATTCAATTTTAGAAGAGAATATTCCATCTTGTCGTCTTCTACAATGTTATTTGATAAGAATTTTCAGATGGAAGATATTCATAAAAGGGGTTTTTAATTGCCATTCTGTGTTTTTAAACTACATTCGCATATCTATTTACATGCAGCAGCAACATTATGTAAGGGGAGCCACCTCTCTCCTCTTCTTTCCTCCCCTTACATGTGGACCAAAAATAGCAGAAACCATTGCTAATAAATAATGGACCACATTCTTGTTTAAGCATGGAGTAAAAGCTTCTAAACGGGCTTTGTCCATGACATTATGGGCCGATATCTCTACTCTTTCAATATCTCCCCCCCATGTTTGGGCTCTTCCCGTCTTCTAATGTCCAATTTATTCATAGAAGGCTCCAAAATTAACAGTAAATTTTTTATTTGTTTAAATGTTTTTGGTGAAATCACAAACGGAAAGTTAGATTAATCATTCGAATCGATTTTAATTTCTGGTTTCATCATTAAGTTTTTGATAGTGTTGGAAAAACGGCACTTGAACTTAAAAAGAAAAGTTAGGGGTTCAAATGTGCTTACCATTAAGTTCTTATGTCCATCAAAAGATTAGCTATTAATTAGAGCTCAAAATTATCTTACGTGCATGATTGGAAGAGAGTGTAAGCTTGACGGTAGGGTACAAAGCTAATTTCAATTGCTTTCAAAGGAGCAAAATTATGAGTATAGAAATGAGAAATGTTGTAAAGCCCAAATCTTGTGGGCTAGTATTCATACCATTTATTGTCTTAGGTTTTGGTTTTGTGTTAAGAAGAAAAAAGAATTATTATATTCCAACCTTAATGTATTTGCAAAAATAAATTGGCTATGTAGTTAGATTATGAGATGATAGGTTCAAGATTAAACCCTTAACGCCAAGGCAGTAATAATTATAAACTCGTCGATGACACGGCAAGTATAAAAAAATGATTCACATTCTTTGCGTTGCGAACCAAAAAGAGAGAAAAATAAAGAGGGAAAAACAGAATAGACAGAGAGAGAGAGAGAGAGAGAGGGGCAACTAGCAAGGCAAATCGAGGATAACAAAAGGGAGAGAAACAAACTCCACCCCTCAAAAAGGGTTCTGGACATCTGTCGTGAACCACGTCCAATTGTACGGCCATTTTGGAATCAAAAAAAAAAAAAAAAGGGGAAAAACACAATGGGCTTTGGCTTCAGTCTCCAACATTCCAGTAGGCAAATAGCTGAGCCGTTTTAGCTTTTACTTATTCTTTTCTATATTCGCATTTTCTTTTTTTAATTATTAATGTTGTTTACATCTCCAGATAAATAACTTCTTATCGCAAATTCACAACCTCACTCTCTCTTTCACTGCACAAGACAGAAACAGAAACAGAAACAAAGAAAGACAGAGAGGCAGAGAGAGAGAGAGATATATATATATAGAGAAACGCTACAGACACAGTCACAGACAGCTCCTACGAACATCACAGACTCGGAGTTTAGAGGAGATAGAAACTGCTTAGATTTTTATTTTTTAAATAAACAATTACTAATCTATATATAGAGGGAGGGATTCACGAAGATGGTGAGGATAATTCCCATGGCTTCCTCAATACGACCTTCGCTCTCGTCGTTTAGGTTGTCCGGTGGTGTTCCTACTACGCGTTTTGGCGTTTCCCTCTCCCCGTTTCACCTTCCTCGACGCCTGCTTTTCTCTCATCTTGGCAGCAGTAAGCACTATTTCTTTTTTTTTTATAAGTTTATTTCCCTTGTATTCCCTAGAATTTAGTTATTTATATATGTTTTAATTGTTTTAGTTAATTGGGGGTTTAATTACTAATGGAAGAATTAGATGGAATCGGGCATTGAAGTTGAACTTCTGGAGTTCATTTTACGGTGTTTTAAGATTTAAATATCAGATTTTTAAGGAATTTAGATGCATCTGCTTACAATGCAGTGGTTGAAACAATCAGTAATTTGTTAGAATAATTGCATATTTTTTCTTTCTTGCGAAAATTATAGTAACAACTTCTGGAGATTCTGCTGAATTTTATGGAATGGAAGAAATGAATTTGGATGGATTCAATCATTTCCTTTATTTGAATGTTATCCAGCTGTTCCGCAATCGCAATTCTTTGGTTTGAAAGCTTCTAAGCTGTTGAGAGCTGAGGGAAGCAGGGTAGGGATGCCTCTGGTCGGAAATGTGGTACAAGCAAGCACGGCAGCTGCCGAAGAAACTGCCCTAGAGTGGGTTAAAAAGGATAAAAGAAGAATGCTCCATGTTGTTTATCGAGTTGGGGATTTGGACAGGACCATCAAGTATGTGTCAAGATATATTAGTATTATTTTTGCTTCCTTTATTAATCTCATGAATGGATTGCGAGATACATGTATTCTTTTTAAACAATCTTGTGGTTGGAATCTTTGAACCAAACTTGAATGTATGGTGGTTGCAGATTCTATACTGAGTGCCTGGGAATGAAGCTGTTGAGGAAACGAGACATACCCGAGGAGAGATACACAAATGCCTTTCTTGGATATGGGCCGGAAGACTCTCACTTTGTTATTGAACTCACCTACAGTAAGCTAGCCTATACTCTTTTGCTTTTCTAAATGATGATAAATCTGAAATTCTGTAACTATTTGTTATAAATATTTTTCCATATATGAATATTAGAGTTGACAGTATATACGAGCTCAGCTGTGGATATTAATTTTCATTGAATGATGCCTGTCAGATTACGGTATTGACAAGTATGACATCGGAACTGCATTTGGTCATTTTGGTATTGCTGTTGAGGATGTAAGTTCAAACTTTGGCTTCCAAAATTGTGTTAGTGTTTTCCATTTTTAACAAGATGATACACTGTTATGTGTCTTAAGAGTTTCCAGGTTCTGGTTTTTAAAGCCAAATGCTTGTATGCTCCACTGATTAGGTTGCCAAGACTGTGGAACTTATAAAGGCCAAGGGTGGAAAAGTAACCAGAGAACCTGGTCCAGTGAAAGGTGGTAGTACTGTAATTGCATTTATTGAGGATCCTGATGGTTACAAGTTTGAACTGCTGGAAAGGGGGCCTACTCCTGAACCCTTGTGCCAAGTAATGCTACGTGTTGGTGATCTTGGTCGTTCCATAAATTTCTATGAGAAGGTGAGAGTTGCTGGGAAATGCTGGGCAATAATATCTGATATTTACAGTCCTTTACATGAACTGATGAGCATGCCATTTTTGGGGGGTTACTATGTTTTAAGTCATGTAGGTCTTACTCTCTATCTCCTTTACTCTCAGGCCTTTGGCATGGAGCTTCTTCGCACACGAGATAATCCAGAGTACAAGGTAAACAGCTATCCACTATATCATTTGGCAAATAACCAGTTTAAATGTGTATTCTGGGGAGAGAAGTGGAAAAAGAAAGGAAAAAGAAAGAGGAGAAAAAGGGGGTAGGGGAGTTTAGGGTTTCAAAGAAGGATTCAAGTGTGCATATTTCGTGTTTGTGTGCGTGCTTTCTTGTGTGTCCTAATTGGCACCTCAGATATATGAACTGACATATGTTGGTGAAATTTCCTTTTAGTATACAATAGCCATGATGGGCTATGGGCCTGAAGATAAAAATGCCGTGCTTGAGTTGACGTACAACTATGGGGTCACTGATTATGACAAGGGAAATGCGTATGCTCAGGTAGAAATGTTTCTGCTCTTTTTTTTCACTTCAATCTCGAAAAGCTTTTACTTCTCTTTGTTTGCAAAACATAACCATGCATGCAGGGAGGAACTTCTTTTGGTGGATTTTGGCCACTGTTTTTGGTGATTTCTTGTGTTTTTATACTTTTATATATTTACAAAGAAGGAATACGTGGTTTAATATGTTGTTTTTGGGTATGGTCAGAGACTTTTAGATGCTTGGGGTTTTGTTGGCTGGTACAGGGGTTCTCTTTTGAGCTTGTTTGTTGAAGGGTTACTGGTAGGCAATTGAGAGGCCAGGGAACCCTTCTCTTTCGTAGTGATTGTTGGGTTCTGTTTTTGGTGCCACAATTCAGAGATATTACTTCAGGACTGTGAAACTAACAGACCTGAATCTTGGCTGTTTCCCATTCAGAGGAGTACCATTGGTTCCCTCTGTAATGAATATATATTGAATTTTCAAAAAAAAAAAAAAACACATAACACAACCATGCAATATGTTTGTGATTCTACTTTGTTTTTTTGAGGCTTTATTTCTTATTTCACGGGAACAAGTTATTAGCTTATCACTTGCAACTGTGCAGATTGCAATTGGCACAGATGATGTTTACAAAACTGCAGAGGCAGTCAAACTTTTTGGTGGGAAAATTACGCGGGAACCTGGACCATTACCTGGTATCAACACCAAGATCACTGCGTGCTTAGATCCTGATGGTTGGAAGACGGTATTCCTGTTTTCTTTTTGTGGCCAAATTCATCATCTTTTCCTTAGTTGGAGAACTTTTGAAACTTAATCTGGTTTGATTAACATCTAGCAATGTATTCAGTTTCTTTAGGAATAATGATAGGTGAACTTCCATTCAAAGAACATGTCCAAAATGGTTGGAAGACTATATTCTTAAATGTGATGCAACTTAGTTGTATTCTGTAAGTTGAAGATTGGGTTGGTGGTTAATGTTGTTGATGAGTCTGTTACTGTTGGTTCAGTTTCATGCCACAAAGTAGTGGAAAAGTTGGAAATTTTGGAGCATACTTTTCAAAATAAGCTTCTGCATAAACTTACATCTTTATTGAGTGTATTGAGTTAACGGCAATGAAAATTATGGTGCTGAATGCCTTTCAACATAAAGATATCAACATCATCTCTGAAACGAACATATATCAAGAATGTTTGCTCATTAATGTGCATTGCTCCAATATAGACTTCTATTAGCTTTTTGTAGAAAGGGTTTCCGTTTTTGATTAATATGCAGCACCACTTCATTATTTTGATTGTTTCTACTTAAGAGATGAAGTAACTTGTGTTGCTTATTCTTTTTGTAATTGACTCACTTTGCTCTTTAATTTTGCAGGTTTTTGTTGATAACATTGATTTCCTCAAGGAATTGGAGTGAGTTTTGGGCATATTCTCGTAGTATCCTTTTGACACTGGAAGCTGAACCTGAGCTGAAAGGATTTGTTGAAGAAATTTCCCATGAGAACGCAGCCACTCCCATTTTGTAGATAAATCTTGAACGGGACAATCGCATAGCCATTAGCTTCACAGGAGTGCAGGGACCTTGAGATGTCAATTTCTGTTTAATTATCTTTCTCATTTTATTTCAATGAAATATTATCACAAAACACTTATATTTGATTCAGTACCTGTTAGGAGATGCCTGTAAGCATACAAAATGTACTATAGTAATCCGTGTCTGCTATGTTATGTGTTTGAGGTTGATTCTCTAATTTTTGAGTCCCAAGGAAAATTTGTTAAAGCGTTCACCAGAAACGTGTAAGACGTAGTTAAAAATTTGCATCACTGCATTATGTATCTGTTAGATAGTCATATGTGTCCTTGTACCGATGTGTTTTAACATATGCAGCATAAATAGCGAGCTCCAACAGAAGTTATTCTTACTGTGGATAAGGGTGTTCGGGCCAGTTTTTTCTTTCAATTGGTACAAGCAATACCCTGATTTCTAACTTGGCTGGCATTGGCATGAAATGAGTGAATGGCATAATATTCAAGTACATATTGGATTCTTGAACCATACATTTCATGTGATATATAACTGAGACGTCATATCGGTTGGGGCATGTTTCCAGAATCGAGCCAAGTTGTACGCATTTTCATTAGCCTTTTTTTTTGCGCTCCGTAGATGGGATTCACTCACAGGGAGTCAGGTACTATGCTCGGTGCTCCTAAGCAATTGTTAGACG